TTTTGGGGGGGGGGTGGCGGGTGAGGGTTGGGCTGCTTGATAGTGTCGTGGGTTGCGGTCGGTCGGCCGAGAGTTACCAGTCGAACGTTTTGTTCCGTCTTTCGTGCCAGTGATTATCACTGCTTTCACCAACACCGGGTACAAGTAGGGGCACCGATTGCGTCCGTGAATTGATGGGTCGGCAGCTGTTTATTTCCTCCTTCGATGTCGTCGTTCGACGAGATTACAATAATGCGGTTGCCGGGGGCATGGCGCATGTGCAATTTTTTTTTACTCGTATGTGTGATGTACCAGGAGGAGCTTCGTTAACCCTTGGGTCAAAAAAAAGGGACGGATAAACTAATTTCGTCGGACGTGGCTAAGAGCAGTGTCTGGGCATAAAGTCGATTGGGTTTGGAAGAGGCCGAACTATTTGGACTGCTGCTCTATCTGGTGGCGTTCCCTGCTCTGTCTAGGCCATCGTGTGTGCTGCTCTCCTCCTAATAGGCCAATTGATGCTACACTCTTGAGACGTTGCTCTTGCTCGTTTTGTGAAACAAGTTGCGCCCCCGTGCCGTTGTGTGTCCGCGTTTCAACTCAGGTGCGAGCAGTCATCGTTGAGAACACCTTTATTAGCGTTTCTCACATGGTGGACAAGCTGATGCCCATGCTGTCGGGCATCAAGTGGCTAGTGCTGCGGCTTAGGTGGGACAACGAGGAGAAGGCAAGGCGGCTCACCAGGCCGGTCCTGTACATATCTGGTAAGCGCCCAGGGGCTCTCGCCTCGCGTCCCCTCGGGGTATGTGGTCGGCTTGGGGGACACGGTGTGGATAGAGTTGTGCTCGGGAGTTCCCTGTAAGCCTGGTCTGCGAGAAGTATCGCAAAGTCCTTGTTTGTTTCACCGGCTGGATGATGTGGTGGGTCTCTTTTCTCGTACAAGACGTTATGCGGCAGTTGCAGCTTTTTCACGCATCCACGGCATATTTTTGCGAAGACGTCAAGCTGCTGAGTAGGCGGATTTGTTGTTGGCTCTTTCGCACGAATTTCATTGATATGGGCCCGTGTCCGAACCTCTCGTGCCTGGCACGTACTGCGTCTACCCCTTCCCACTCGCGTCTGAAGTGTTGGACACAGCGCTGGGCCCTGCCGATGAAATTGAAATGGTAAAAGCAGACCGCCTCTTCTTTTGCTACGCGTGCTTTCGTTTCGTGTGTGCGCGTGTGTATCTATCTTCTCCTCGAAGATATCTGTTTCTCGATTCTGTTCTGCTTCTTGGCCCTGGTTTTTTCCAGGCGCCGATTTTTGCTCTTGTTGCGCGTTGGCGAATAAGATGAGATAGATGCCCCTCACCGACCTCTCACTTATCTTCTCCCTTACCGTTGCATGCACCCACCCTTTCGCTCACACCTTTTCTTGTTGCAGGTCTTAAGGACGAGCTCATCCCTCCCTGGCACATGCGAGCTCTCTACAACGCCTCTCCCGAGAGGTCGGGCGGGGGCAAGCGGATCTTGATGGTCGAGGACGGCGGGCACAACGACACGTGGGAGAGGGGAGGGTCGGAGTACCTTCAGGCGCTGCGGTCCTTCGTGGAGGAGGTAAGTCTACAAGTCTGTATGATGATGAACATTTGAGAGGCGGGAACGATGCTATGACTCTTGTAGTATGAGTACGTGCGTTCGTGTCGCCGACCGTTGGTGGGGGGGAAGCAAGGGAAGCGCGGGTAGGCCCCGTGGCTGCCCATCTTGCCTTTTCTCCCGGGGAGGTCAAGGGTACCGCACGAACCGGACTCGTCCACAGAAGTACGCATGGATCGAACCAGGGAATACACATGGATCGATATATTTGTAGTCGCAAGGTCTTGTCATGTGGGTAATTTATTAAATATACAGTACATATATTACGACTTAGCAGACCACGCGCTGGCTCGAGGGGGGGG